GACCCTCGTCCAATCTCCAGCACTGCAGAAATGAAAGAACTGTTGTAAGGTACATGCAAGAAGCCTGGCTTTAGGGAAATTTGCTATAGTGCATTGTGCCTGTAGTCAACAATATGGTATTGTGCATTTAGAAATTTGCTAAAAGTGTGGGTCTCATGCTAAATAGTATCACTGCAATCACAAAAGAATTATTTGTTTGCTTAATGTCAGCATATTGACTTTTAAACACATTAGCCGAATCACTGGCTTAATCAATAATACTGAAATTTTCTACTAAGAGAGGTCCATTTCAGCAAATGGGTTTCATCCTCAGTTTAGTGCTACCAATACCTGAGCTAGAAAACCTTAATTCCTTACTTCACATTGATTCAAAACACTGCCATTCAAAGCTGTACCTAGCTCATGCTGTTTTCTGATCCCTCACACCCCACCCCACCCCCACATATCCCACTGGAAGATCTCCCACGTTCCCTCTAACCCACTTCAGGGCACTGGCCATGGGCTTCTGGAGGCCATTTTGGCTACATCTGCAGAGCCACAGACATTGACCCTGAGCACTACACATGTGAGCCCAGCTATCCCAGGACACCTCTGAAGGCTAACTTACCCTAGAGCCCCCAAATACCCAAACTAATCTGTCTTTCCTGACTTCCACCTGAGTGCACGACTTGTGGGGTTTCTTCCCTTCCCTGCCTGACTTCCCAGCTCCCCTAGGAGGTCCTGTGGTCCTGGGAGCATTTTCTTAACAAAGAACTCATAACTCTCTGTCTTGTCACCTATTTGTGATATGGTGGTGTCTTCTGGGGACCCTGGCTTCAAGCACCTTTTAGCCCTCTGTTGCCCCCCCATGACTGCTGTTCCCCCTCTCCTTCCTCTTCAACTCTGCCTAGGACAAAGGAGTACAACGATCAAATGAGACTTTGTACATGAAACACATCAAACCCCACCAATGCTCCACAAATCAGAATAATGCGTAGTAATGATCACGCTAATCTCAAGCATCCTTCAAAATCTGGCTCTAGTCAGGGGTGGTAGTACATGCCTATGATCCCCAAACCCTGGGGATAAAAGCAAGGGACTGTCAGTATAAATTCAACTTGGACTACACAGTAAGACCCTGTCTCAAAAAGATCTTAAGGCAATTAAAAAGAAAAAGATGAGAATCTAGTGGCACCTCCTCCATGAGAGATGGCCCACAACTCTCCCTACCCCAATTCTGTGAGATCACCCACCTCCCTATCCAGCTCTCCACTTGCAGTCAGTCCACTGTCTGTCCACTGTCTGTCTTGCTCACTGTGGGAGCCTCAGCACCTGGGCAGGTAGGTGTCTGACACATTGTACAAAGTTAGCAATTACATGTCAGGTGAGGTAAAATTTCAGAATAGAAAGGACTTGCCTAAGACACCAATCAGCTGAGTGGAGGAGCCAAGATTGCAGCCTTGATCGCGTCTCCCGAACCTGAGAACTTTCCATGTGAGACTCCACCTCCCAGTGCTCCATCTTCCCCCAAGCAGCAGAAAAGGAAAAGTACAGCTCTTTCTCCTCCAACCAAAACCCTGGCATCAGCAATGGATGGTGGGCTGTCTTGTCATTGTGACAAAGGCTATCACAGCTACCAGCACTGTGTGTCCTTTTCATTTCTCCAACCCGACCTGAAGCCTCCTAGAGGCAGAGACCTTGCTGAATTTACCTTCCATGCTGTCTACAGGACCATGCACAGATATCAGCAGGAAGAAGGGAGTGGACAGAGGTGGAGAAGAGGAACGATCCAGCTCCCCAGAGCTGCACGTCCCACCTGCACAGCACTGAACAATAGCCCCAAGGGCTCAGGACCAGTTGGAGGGTTTAATGAGATATGCAAAGCACTTCGCATAATGACTGGCATATGGTGAACCCTCAGAACTTCCAATCCCCAGTACCCACATAAACACTGGGCAGGCGTCGTGGCCACCTGTAATCCCAGTACTCAGTAAACAGAAACTGCGGTTAGCAACAACAGCAATGGCAAAGCACCGTCCTCAAAGTGGTCCTCCACAAGGACAGGCTGACATCCCCAGGGAAGCGCAGCCCGCAGTTTCCACTGAGTTGTGGTCCTGTCCCTAGTTCCAGGAAAGCAACATGAAGGCCTTGCCTTCTGACCACCCTTCACAAGCCTTCTTTAGTCTTCTATTCCTTCACTTGTGAAGCACACACTCTTCCAATCAGCTCGAGTACATGAGCTCTGCCCTCTTCAACTGTCCGGGCTCTCCTTCCTTTCTTAATCAGAAACCATGTTTACAGGCTTTCCTTCCACCCAAGCCACCTGAGAGGGCTGTCACTGCAGGGCACAGGACTCAACCTGTCAGGCGTACAGCCCTACCTCTGCCACTACCTTATTATTTAATGCTGGACAGACTTCTGGTTGGCATCACCTCCCTCACCTTCAGAGTGGGGGCAAGAACATCTACCCATCGGAGTCACAGCCAGAGTGAAACAAAAGTCCAATGAATTGCGCTTGGCATGGTAATAAATGCTCATGAAGGTCATTTTACACTTTACCAAAATGCCAGTTCTCAAATCTGGAGAGGTTGCTTGGCCATGAATATAACCAAGAGCTAACACAACTGATGAGGTAAGACGTGCCAAGCAGTCAGCGTCACGGCAGACCCTTCCTTTTTAGTCAAATGCCAAACCGGCTGAACCCTACTGCTTCCTGGGAACATGGAGATTCCCCAGACTTGGGCCACAAGTTCACCTTGGGGTGACTCAAACTGGGAAAAGTGCAGCCTGAGATTCTGAGGCAGGGGAGGGGAGGAGGCCTCCCCGGCAGGGCGGAAACAGCAGAGGCAGGAAGGCAGCCGGGCACAGCATCGCAGGTGAGCCCAAGTTCCAGACCCAAGTGACAATCAAGTCAGAAGGTGCAGTCACAATGAGGGAACTCCTAACAGTTGGCAATAGTCAAGATCCCAGATGGGGACAGCAAGGCTTTGGTGGCACTGGGTGTGAGCCGAGGACCGACTCTCAGCTAGGGACACAGCTCAGTGAGTCCAAGCACTTGCCATGCAAGTCTGAGGACTGAAGTCCAGATCCCAGCACCCACACAAATGCTGGGCAAGTGTCCTGGCCATCTGTAATCCCAGCACTCTGGAGGTGGAGACAGGATCTGCAAAGAAGGCTGGCAGGTTAATCTAGTCACTGAGTGGGCTCTGGACTTCACTGAGAGTCCCTGCTTGAGTATATAAGGTGGAGAGCAATCAAAAAGACAGGACATCAACCTCTGGCCTCTGTTCTCATGTGTCCACATACATGTGCCCATACACAGCTAAATCACATACACACATGCACAGCACACACATATGCACACAAAAAAGGAGGAAGGAAGAA